CATCTCTGTTCAATTCCAGTTTTCTCTCTTCAGATTTGTTCAGTTCTGCCTTCTCCAAGCCGTGGGGAATGATGTTCAGAATACAAGCGCGGTATATCCTTTAGTCGTCAATGTCTTTCCAAAGCTTGAATAACTGATAATAATTTCTCACAGCTAGTTCCAATGCACTGCGCCTCTTGACTTCGTTTGCCGCTCGTGCGTCTGCAGCCAGTGCACTACCAAGATGCTGATATTCTGGTACGTTTCTCACTACTTCAGTGTCAAAGGTCACACCGAAGTAGGAAGGAATTCTTCCAGATTCCATCCAGCCACTTAGTCGTCTTTAAGTTAATCGATAGAACCAGATCGGAACACTTATGTTTAATGGTTATCAACAGTGATGTTCCGTCTTCGAAGTTGTCTTCAAGCAAGACGGTACCATCTGCAAATGCATTAGGGTTTACGCATGAGTTGCCCACTCTCGTCTTAGTCATATCTACACTTTTTCGTGTTGGCTGGAGTACCCACTCAAGAAACATCTCACACTGAAGCTTGGATTCCTCTCTATGCCGTAATCAAAAATCTGTCTGAAAGAATCTGCCGTAAATTCACAATGTATTTGGCGGAAGATCTTACATGTTTTTCATTATGTAATTGTCTTTTATGAAATTTAGCATTGTTCAGCAGCTTTGCACAAGGCATCACTCCAGTTTGAGTAATAGTTAGTAATGAAATCGATGGATATCACAAAGAATTTTTGTCTCTTTTACATTAGCCGTCTCATGAATATCTGGTCTAAATTTTTTTGCCTCTCTTGATTACAGACTGCTCTTAACACGAGATCTTCTGAAGAGACTATTTAATCATGTTGACCATAATACGAATGAACACTTTAGCAGGAACAGATAGTTGACCCTTTGATAGCCGTTATTTGAATCTGTGCAGCAGCCCTTCTTAAATATCGGAACCATGACAGACAAACTTGTTTATTTTCTCTTCAAGTGATAGACGGCACACAGCCAATACGAATACTTATCCATTCATCATTAGGATGATGGTAAATAATAGCGGAGAAGGCTTCAGTGACATTATTTGGATTACATTAGGCTGGTAATGGGTAATAATGCTGGTAATGTTAGCCGAAAGCTTGGTCGTGCACCGAAAAGCCTTATCACCCTGTGTAATAATATTTGTAGATTACATTGGCTTGCTTCCACCTGAACAAGAATATGAACGCTCTGAAAAATTTTATTGCAGATCGGCTAAGCTAAAAATCATATGTATATCCATAATCGCATAGCTTGAAAAATGGTCTGAACATTTCAAGCAGCTGCTCAACGGCTGCCCTCTGATTCGTTGTTTCGAACCGTTAATGCTGTGCCAACACTATTTAGAAGTTAATACAGGTCCATTCACAAAAATTAGACAACTAATAGCCCTGTTACACGTTAAGGTAAAGAGGGCCTGCGGGGTGGATTGAATTCCTCCGTAATTAATCAAGGATGAAGTAACGGAGATGGTAGGAAACCTCTACGCCCTGTTTCATCAAATGCGGACCCACTTCCGTCTCAGGATAGTGGAAGTGTGAAGTAATTATCTCTATATTGAGTTGGGATCGAGTGACCGAGTATATCAATTATCGTGGTATTCCACTAGTGTCGGCTGCCGGGAAAATTTTCTTCTGAATTATCCTGGAAAAGCAGAGGCAGGTAACTGATGAGAGACCCCTAAATTTGCACGTTTCCAGATGAAGTTCTCATGCCGCAACCAAATTTTTACTCAGCGTAGGATAACTGCGCAACGTAGACGATTTCAGTCGCTTTGGTTTGCGAGTTTCGACAGTAAAGCTACATTTAATTCACCACATTGTCCGACGATGTGGAAAATCTTGAAATGCTATGGGATATGAAATGCATCGTTTCCATTTTGAATGACATGTATGCAGTAACGATGTCTGCTGTCAAAGCTGAGTGGTTCGCTATGTTCGCTAGTTAATAAACTATGGAATTCTTGTTTTCGCCTATAAACTATAGGAGATGGGTTTTCGCCTTTTCCATTGTTCTCGACTTTCTTCTCAGAAATAGTGCTAACCCTGGAAAGACAGAGGTCTCATTTTAAATGAAATGCACAGTTCAAAGTATCCGGCTAGAAGTATGAAGTATGACCTGAAGTCGTAGATGATATTGTCGTAGTGAGCAGTGTCGGAAGTGGGCTTTGTCACCTGACGGCTTCCGTATATAACAGAACTGCGAAAGCCGGCTTCGTCCTTAACACCCTGAAGTCCAAAGTAACGAGAAACTCCCTCGGCACAGCTGATCTACAACTGGAACAGTAAGGTGAAGCCGTTTACGATGTTGACCAGATTGAATATCTCGGCACTATAATCTCCAGCGATGATACTCTTGAGACAGAATTTATTGGAGGATCAACCTAGCCTGAAATGCTAATATTTGAGCTGAGTAAAGAGTTACCCTTCCTTCAATAGTCCATCGGTACCTTGCTCCTATTAGACATAAAGACAGTTGTTCTAACAAAGGAGCAAACATGACGGTCAAACTGCATACATCATCATTGGTTTCAAATCATAATGATGGTTAATTGGCATGACCACGTAAGGAATGACTGTTCTCTTTTGGGACAGGTGACCTTGGTGGATACGGAGATGAAGACAGAGCGTTGGTCCTGTTAGACAGGTTGGTTGAGCATAAACGATTTATTTCAGCCCTTGAGTTTCTCGTGATGTAGCTGAAACTTCGCAAACGTAGATTAGGAGGCCAGCATGCAACCAAAAGAAACAATTTAGCGGTAGTAAATTTTTTGAAACCAGAGGCGTTTTGCTGATTTAAACGGCTCACGATGATGATCTCTGCAAAGAAATAACAACCGTAATCGCTGCAGTGGTTGCGCAGCAACCCTTGCGACAGCGATGTGATTTCGACGATTAATAGGTTAATCGGTCACTGTCATTCAGCATGCCACTGCTGCACAATTTATGGCTTGAATTGGTGTTTTTGTAATTTTATGTGCAATTGTTTAATCCTAGCACTACTAATGTAACCTATGTTAACGCTGCAAAATATTCGATTTGATGGCGTTGTTGATATGAATGATAGAAATTTCAGGCATGGAGCATGGGATGGAAGTTGGCGCATCTATTAGTGTGGTTCCGCGTGATTGTGTTTCGGTACCAAGCCGTTTGGCTAATTGCAGTAAGCATTATGCAGTAGTTCATTTTGATATTATCATCGTATCTGAGCGTATTTTGTGATAATTTTAGGAAGGCAGTTGTATCCTAAGCGGTATCGCGCATAATCTCGATCCTAAAACCGGCGAACAGCTGTGGGACGGTGTTCGAAACATCAGACTCACGAAATTCGAATTTTGCGCCTCATTTCAGTCAATGATAGAGAGTTTCAACTACAACACAAATCAGTGGGCAGCAAAGTATGTCGTTCGGTCGATCATTTACACTGATATTTAGGCTTTTATGTTTTTTCAAGAAACGTTAATATCAAATAATACTTAAAGTTTTTGATTCTGGACCCATAGTTATATACGTAGGTGTTTGAACAATTCATAGTTCAGGGCATCAAATACAGCAGATGCTACAACAATTTACTGATGACGCGTTTCGCTACACAGGCCGTGGCATCATTAGGGCAAGACAATTTACTAATGACTGCTTGAAGACAGTACTTTGTCCTGCGATCAGGATCCATGTCCAACCAGCGAACAGTACTTTACATTTAATATGGTATTATATCGATAATCCTGGATGTTAGCCAACGAATAGTGAAAAATTTGTTCTCAATAAAACAGTCAGATCATTTTTGTTAACGCGATTTTTTGTATCAGTTTTGCAGTCGTTCCCCAGCTTTCGCTAATAACCACAGAAGATGTGTATTCATTGCACTTCTGGTTTTTCATTGCCAATGTATGCAAGGACTCCTTTATCAGTGTACCTGTTTACATTGTTCTTTGTCTATAACAGACATATTGGTCTGACTGAAAGAATGTCCTTCATACGGATGAATCGTATGTTGGCCGATACTGGAATTGTCAGCCTGTTCTAGGCGGACCGCAGAAAATTGCCCTTTTATTCGTATGTTAAATTTCCTATTGATCTTTCTAATTTACACTTTGTCATAGTCTCTGCACTGTACTTTGGGTACTACACTTCTTCAGGGTTATTAACGGGCACGTAATTTTTAAATAAAATGTCATTCATTGTTCTGCCGTTCTTGTAGTAGACTCTGAATTGCATGTCATTAAGATACGTCGTGATAAGTTGAACTACCTGGGGTATGAACGATAAAATTACCGTTGGTCCATATGAACTGGCCATCTTTAAGTTTGAGCTAGGATGCAAAAGTTGTTCGTCACGGATCCTCCTTTGGTAACTGTTTTTCATAAGTGCTTGGTGAAGATATTGTTTAAGTTTATGCCTTAAGTGTTAGTACAAGTTTCTTGGGCTCACGAGCGCATGATTTTCATCACATTCGTGAGTAATCCAGGAGGAACACATGACGCCGGGTGCAGGTGTGGATTAGTGTGTTGATTTCCGATTGGAGTATATTCTATACTAAGTTCAGTGCAGAAACTGCGACAAGATCTACATTGGTCTGCTTGGTGCCCTGATCCTTTAACCGTTCATACGCCATTAATGGCTTTTTTTGCCGTTTACTTAACTGCTTCACCAGAGGGAGGTGAAAGTTGACCTCGGTGTCAGCGTATGTCCAAAACGATCGACTTCGGACGGAGCGTTAAACGGAGAATAAGTGCACATCGACGTTAATCTTGGAATTAGCAGCACTTTAGATTGGTCTGTTCTTTCACATGTGCACTGTGCCATTCGTAGGTATGTTGTGGGCGGACATCGTGGCAACAGGGTGCGCAATTCGTTGCTTCTACTTCTCTATGCTTGTCAGCATCTTCGTCTACGTATCATTTTTTCTGGTTAAGGATTCGACCGCTATTTTCCGATGCCGAAGGGAGCACAACTGCATCGTTCTAAGGGCTGAATTGCTACTTATCGTTCACTAGCGATGTCTGGCATTCTAGAGTGCCGGTATTTCGGTGATTTGCATACCTTGAGTCATAGGATCAAATTGAAGGAAGCGTTACTGCGCTGACGCGAAGATTTCGACCTCACTTTAACAAATGAAATTTGGTTTGATCAGCTAATTGCAAATCCACGTAACACCAAAACTACTAATAAGAAGAGAAAATTGGATTGTAATGTTAACTGTTGTCACGGTTCCTGCTCTCCTGAAATGCCAGAGGAAACTTTCCTGGATTGTTTAGAAGGGCCATATCTGTAAAATGCCCTAGAAGAACAGTCTTGAAAAAACTGCCTGATAAGCCCAGAAACCGGCCCCTGGACTGGATAAATTGGTGCCAATGGAGAATCGAAATCTGCTCCGAACGTTTCATTCTGGGAACCATCCACTGGTTGCAGGCACTTTGAACGACAGTGTATAACTTGGAAACATGTCGTCGAAGCAGACCCGTTTGTGACAAGTTATATTACGTTTGCCGTGGGTCCGACCGCTACCTACTTTTGATTTGAGATATCAATAGTGGTGATTTGGAATCACAGCTCTGAGCTATTTTACTGTTTCAAGTTTTGTTAGTTGTGGATGACGAATGAGTTTGAAAACAACAGGAAATAAGGGAGTGGTCAAACTTTGTAGACGAACAAATATACTAGAAAGGCTTGTCGTTTATGATTGAAATAGCTGCCCTCGTCGATTTTTCTGATTCAATGGCTTTGTTGTTGTTGTTGTCCATGGCATCTGAATATAAGAATTTGCTCTTCGGAATATCTACGTTTAAGTTGACATAAGGGTTGGAGACAACCGTCCATCTTCTTTCCTCGAAAGAATCATGTCGAATTTTTTTATCATATTGTTTGCAGTTTGTTAGGTCAAGGGTGAGTTATAGATGAAATGTTAAGAACATTGTTCAAAACTTCGAGAATTCAACTTCACCGCTATCGTATTGTATAGCAGCTCGTTTCTTTATATTTTGCTCGCAGTAATTTAACTGCTGGGTCTTGGAGACCTTTTGTGATTGAGACAATACAGTTTATTGAACCTTGGATAAATGTATTGTGTTTATTCCATATTTACTTAATGTTTTTGAAGTTTAAGAATTTTAATAATTGGTCTTACCTTCTTAAGGTATGTCTTCAAAAAGCTGAAGTTCCTTGGAAACAAATCTCTGAGCCATATCATCACGTTGTTGTTTCTCAGTTTATGGCATGGCACTTACTCGGGCTACTTTGTATGTTTCGGACTGGAGTATGTTTGCGTGATTGCCGAGCGGAAGGTGAGTTTTTTTGTGTATATATGTGTATATATATTTGTTCACTACTGATTTAAAATCTGGAAGAGATGATTAAGGCTGCATATTTCAGAGTATTATTGCTTCTAAAAGTATACTAGAAACAAGCAGGGAGCCATCTACACGCGTGCGATATGTCGAGGCACGCAAGGCGGCAGCCACAGCAGTGGCAAAAGCC